TAAACTAAAAGCAAATAGTGCCAGATTTCTATTGAGCCAGATATTAAGGATATTGGCCAAAATGTGAAGTAATGTCTTTGCTTAGGACAGTACCATGGTGTTGAGCATGTTTATGCAATAAGACATTTTTCCTAGTTCATCTGAGAGGTGAACTCATGATTATGAACACTGTAAAGAGTTGACAAAGACAGATTTAGAGAAACCTGGAAAATCGATATTGTTCCTGGAGTTTGTTTTGAAATTTAATCCAATGGATTTAAAGTCCTATTCTAATAGAATAGCACGAATTATAACAATTTGTAGCTATTTAAATAAGTTGGAGAAAAAACGCTGTGTAAGAGGTTATGACATGGAAAGGAGTCTGTCTTATCCTACATAGGAAATACAATAGCATTCAAAAGAAATTTGTTTTAAATTATTTATTCTTTAACACTTGATTTTTGTTTCAATATATGACAAATTACATAAGCAATGGTGTCAAATACTATAAAGTGTTTTCACTTGTAATATATATATATATCAGAAAAGTTAAATGAAACTATTAAGCTACAAGCAAGATTGGTATTATTAAGAGGAATGATCATTGTAAAATTTTCAACAAATTTAATCATATTGGGAGAAGGTTTCTTGCCCAGAATTTTCAGTTTCATTATCTTTAGTAAGGTTAGTTATAAGGATACTGGTCTGGAACCATATTCCTAATTTGAATGCTACCTTAAAAATGTATAATGAAGGGCCAGGATTTTAGTACAGTGGCACAGTGCAAGCTCAAAGTCCTGAGTTTGATCCCGAGTACCAAAAAGAAAAAAAGTATAATGATTAAATTTAAAAATTGATATGGATTTATAGTACCAGATTAGGTGATTAATCCACTTGGAAATAAGGAAACAGGTATTAGTCAATGTTTGCAGGAAATGTATAATTCAGCTAAAAAATATACAGGGCACAAAAGAATTACTACTTAATAAATACAAAGAGTTTGGGGCTCCTAAGACTTTTCATTGGCCTTTTAAAATAGGAACAACATTATTCATTATAGTAATTTCAGCTGCACATTTAGATCCAAAGAGTTCCAGTGCAGTGGAATAGCAGCACAGTGCCACAATTACTGCAAAAGCAACAAGATATAACAGAACAGCTGGCATTCCTTTTAACAGAATTAGAACCCCTTTAGAGTTCCGTAAAATTTAAAATTTGGTATTATTGCCAGTCTGTCTCAGTTTGGGTCTCTCCACAGACTGATGCGAAGTTTCAGATACAAGCAGGCTGTGAAGTGGTCCTATGGAGAACTGCAAAGGGGACGGGAAGAACAGAGGTAAATGAGCAAACCAGTGCTGCAGGCTGATGGACCTTCATCCTGCGGGGAAATCCTGGGAACTTGTGCCTCAGAGTAAGCCCCACAGGGCTTGGGAGCTGGGGTGTTCACCTGTGTATTGTGGAAGGAATTGGCAAGTGACACACACATAGAGACAAGCTGAATGGAAGTAAAATAATAAAAAGTTTATTTGCCAGCAAAGAGTTGATTACATTAGAAAGGGCAGTGCCAGTGATCGACTCTCTATTGGATTGCAGCTTCCTCTCATAGGTTTTACAGCTGTGATCTCATTCAGGTGGTTGCATTTCATTTCCTCAGTTCACGTTACCCGTGTAGAAATTACAGTAACCAGACAGTTAACTTTAACCCAGACGTAACAATTCCTTGTAGTTAAGGGAGTTTACCTCAGGATTTGTCTAGCTATCTGTCCTAGTGCACAGGAAGGGGCTGTTCAAGGTTAGGGATGAGGCCAGATGTCCCAGGTCATGGTCATTGCCTCCAATATTTGTTAATTTTGAACTGAACAAGGCAGACTGCTGTTAGAGACAGCAAAAGTCAGCTTACATTTTCCTAATATCTTCTGGTTTTTAGATTATTTACAGAAGTTCTCTCTGTCATACAGACTCCCAAGGCTCTCCCCAAGCAGTAGTGACTCCCTGCCACCTCCAGCCTGCCATGGCAGCTGAGCAAGCCTGGAATTAAGAGTCACAATTGGGAAGGGTGTGCAGATGTGTGAAGACTTGGGATAGGACAGGGGGCCAACGGCACCTCCTGTACCACCCTGTTTATGCTTTTTGCATTTCTGTAGCACCATGACAGGAAAGCTATTTTGAGAAAGCTGCGTATATGGTAGAAGTGATGGTTGTGGGTGTTTTAAGGAGGGTTTTGGGTGATCTGACATTTTTCTCTCCAGTCTTCCTGCAGTACACACCTTAAACATCCACCACACCATTTCTTTGGGGTGTTTTCTCTTTCTGCGTCTTCTGTTTCCCATGACATTGCAAAGGATGTGGTCTTGGGGGTCTTTCTAAGTTCCAGAGATGAAACAGTTGCCCTCACACAGTGGGATTTCAGAACCAGGTATAAGGTTTCTGTGAAACATCGTCACTAACCCTTCAGAACACAGGGAAGCCCTTCGAAGGTGCTCATCCAGAGCCGACCACATCTGACCCACCCATGCTTCCTCATCTCCAGTCTGACTGCCCTTTACGGGAGGCCAAGTTAGAATTTCTTTCCCTTTTCACTTCTCATCCAAGCATGTGTGATCTGTTGGTACGAAATACCTACTTCCTCAGCCTACCCTAGTTTTCATTGTGCTATGCGTCATACCTCAGCTTTGCGTTTTTCTATTCATTGTGGTCCCAGTGAAACAAAAACAGAAGAAGGAAGTCCACTGGCACAGGCACACATACTCTCTTGTGTCCTTTTGCTTCCTGGCTGCCATGAGGTGAGCAGCTTTCTTGCTCCACGCTGTTCCTCCATGATGTCCCACCTCACCATAAGCCCAGCGTGAAGCCAGCAGGCCATGGACAGAAAGCCCTAAAACTGTGAACAAAAGTAACCTTTTCATCGTTTAACTTGTTGTTCTCAGGTATTTTTGTCACAGCAACAGAAAGCTAACACACTATCTGTCAGAACAAGAGCAGTGCCTCAAGACAAGCCTGTGTGTCTTTCAACAGAAGTAGAAGCTGACCTCTCTCTGACTGACTTGTGAGACCTACTCAGAGATGCAGAGTCACAACAGGTTCAAATGCTTCCTGTTGCCTGTGCGTGTTTATTGCCAGGCCACACTGTCCGTAGCACAGGGGTTTAAAAGTAAACAATAAAATGTTCTAAAGCGAAACATACACATTGGAACTTTTAGCTTCCCTTTTTGCCAAGATGAGATGATCGTAAACACAGTGTGTAGGAAATTCCTCATAACTTTTACTTCCCTTGCTGGTGTTACTGACTGGTGTAAATTGGTAGAAATGTAATTGTAGTGTACACACACAGGAAAAGTGATGAAAAAAAACCAAAAACATGAAAATGCTTTCTGAATTTCAGAAAATAAGCTGGAAATACAAACTAAAGTACTGTTAAACATATGCCAGGTAATTTTGCTTATCGCTGCAACTGGTTTTGGTTGTTTTCTTTCTCTCCCCATAATGCAAGCGATCAAACCCAGGCTCTCACATGTACTAGGGAAGCACTCTACCACTGAACCATATCCCCAGCCCAGCTTTTCTTTTTATAATGGAAAGCTAATCCCACCTCTTTTATCTATG